GATCTAAGACGAGGATAAGCAATTGACCAATTTAGAAAGAGAATCTCTATTTCGTTTATACTTGATCAAATTTTGAATTTTCACTAATAGCAATCTCATGTTGGTTCCAATTCATGTTGGTTCCAATTGTCCGCTTCTGATTCGTATTTGTGTTCTTTCCTCTTTTTGCCCAAAAGATTTGAACTATTTCATTATTAAGGAAGAAGAGAAGGGTGCCTTACGTGATGCTATATATAATATGACGAACGAAACCTTAGTCGAAATTTATATGGACGAGAAGAAGGGGCGTGGCATCAGAGCAGGCAAATCTTTCGTGAAAAACGAGTTTGTCATTGAATACAAAGGTAGGTTTTTTCGAGCTCGTCATTTCTAAACTTTTTTGTTTTGCATATTCGTGGAATAGTTTCCTTTCGGCAGCGATCAGTCAACGCTCTTCTTCCTTATGAGCTGATTGCACATTGATTATAAGTTTGAAGGATAAAGCCTTTGCGTAAATCAATCCTTTCGGGATGCGGTGCGCATTTGGCTTCCATTCCGAATCGTAGCAACTGATCGCACGTGGTTGCGCCTATAGAATGAATTGCAGGGACCAGACGATGCACAAATCAGTGTTCTTATCCTCCCAGACAGTCCGTTACCAACTCCCGTCATGGGAGGGTATAAGGCTTGGTTGGCATGGGCGGGAGCCGAACCGGGATACGTTTCCTGGCCCGTTCGCGTGGTAAGCGTGCCACTTGCCAACCCCCGAGATCAGGGTACAGCATCGTGATGTGTGTAATGATGGTTACGTAGGTACGACCCCCCCCCCCTCCGAGAGGGGATGTTAGTGCGACCCCTCCACTTGGGTAAGGGTCTCGGTACGTTCCCTCCCCCTTCTCCAACACCTACCTACCCATTTCCCACATTTTCCAGTTTCCGGGGAGGGAGAGGGAGTAAGGGGAGTGGGGAATGGGTGTATATGGTACACACGAAAGAGGAAACGTCAACAACCGGGAATATTTTTTCCCAAACGCAGCAGTTGTCTCTCAGTGGCACATACGACCC